TACTAGCTTGAAATATATGTACACCGGCAATTGAAATACTGGCATGAACTTTTTACTGGAATCAGTAAGTGATCGGGCTTAAAAAGAAAATTTGTGTGGTAGAATCTGAAAAAAATGTAGTAGATCTCAGGTTTTGGATCAAACTTTGTACAAAAATTAAAAAAATTCTGCAAGGTTTCACATAAATTGCAAATATTTTAATTAGAATCTAAAAAAATTAATTTTAGTATAATACAGTGAAGATTGCGTTGAGTTTTGCTGTTTTTTTCCTTGAACGTGTAAAGCAGTTCCTTCCATATCAAGCTATTTTTCAGGGACGTGAACCGGATGAAAAATTTGGTCGGTTCGGTTCAGCGGTTCGAACCGTTTTTGCACTTTTGGATTGCTTCGTCAAAGCGGTTTTTTTGGTCTTTGAGCCGGGGTTTCGGTTCGGTTCAACGGTTCGAAAAACAAAAAAATTACGTGTAAGTTTAAGTGTCACGTGTCAAGTGCAACAACGCACCAGATTATAGGTCAAGTGTCTGTCAAATGAGATGGGTTGCCTTTACATTGTATATTGTCACATGGTAAACAAACATGGTAGGTATTACCATGTTTAACAAGAAGAAAAAAGTGGGTACATTTATCTATTGAAAATCGCAGGGACGTGAGCCAGTTTTGAACCGGAAAACCGCTTTTTTCTATTAATTAACTGAACCATTAACCTAACCGAAATTTTCCACAAATGTTTGATCCGAATCGAAAACCGAACCACTTTCTATAATGGTTTAAAAGTTCGTTTCAACCAATTTTCAATAGATAAATGTACCCTCTTTTTTCTTTTTGTTAAACATGGCATGTGACAATATAAAATGTAAAGGCAACTCATTTGACACTTAAACTTGTGCGTTGATGCACTTGGCACGTGACACTTAAACTTCCACGTTATTTTTTTGTTTTTCGAACCGCTGAACCGAACCGAAGCCCCGGTTTAAAGACCAAAAAACTGCTTCGGCGAACCCATCCAAAAGTGCAAAAACGGTTCGAACCGCTGAACCAAACCGACCAAATTTTTCATCCGATTCACGTCCCTGGAAAATTGGTTGAAACGAACCTTTAAACCTTTATAGAAAGTGGTTTGGTTTTCGGTTCGAACATTTGTGGAAAATTTCGGTTCTGTTAAAGGTTCAGTTAATTAATAGAAAAAAACGGTTTTCCGGTTCAAAACCGGTTGATGTCCCTGCTATTTTTTGAACATATTTTGAAAGGTTTCTGCAACCTTGCAGAGTGCTGACAGCTTTTCTTTATATCACATCACGATGTAGCGAACAAATGTGGCACGTTCCAGAAACCGCTACATGGGATTTGCCGATTTTGACAATTCTCAACTGAAAGTAAACAACGCTTTAGAAACTTTAGATGCACTGACATTTGCCAATATTTTCACAAAAATAGCCGTTTTTTTTAATTTACGCTATTAATTATTTTTATAAATCATTATTTTGTAATTTAACATAATATAACCACGTTTGGACGATGGTTCCGTGCGCAGAAGTGGAAAACTTTTGACTGACATTCACCTGGGAGTGGCCAGAAGCGATTCTTGTGCATACGGTTCAAATCGCAGCTCACAACGTCCGGATATTTATATCCACGTATCCTCTGGGTAGCAACCAAACACCCGTTTGGGAGCGAGCTAAAGTGAGAAGGCGTAAAACTTCGCGTGCGCTGGGTTTGGGTCCCGC